TTGCTTTCTGTTAACGTTACCCCTTTAAATACACGCCAGCGATCGAATTTGCATCTAAATGTCTTCCGACCATTATTTATAGGTTATAAATAGTCGATACAATTATCGACAGTTTGTTTTTATCCAATCATAAAACATGCGGAGACCGACATGTCGAAGAATGATGATCACTTACCCTTTAATCAATAATATCTTCGTGTACACAAGCCACAGGCAAAGGAAAATGAGAATGATTCAAAATAGGAAGGTGATGTCAATCGCCACGTTTAGGTATACCGTATGGATAGTTGGTATGCTTACGAAGGAGATCTAACTAAATTCAGACCAATTGCCTCAGACCATGTATCTTCAGTTGACTAACGTTACCCACTCTGTTTTGATTTGATTTTTTTTTTAGGTGAGTTTGTGGAACTACACTTGAATTCGTAAACTAAGAATGAAATCCTTCAGTGGAATACGAAACTAGCTTGAATTGAATGGAATATTATTATGAGAACTCATGAAATAACTGCCACTAGCACCCAAGTCAAGTCAAGGCTATACAAATGTAAACCAAAATGTTCACACCGCCTTGATCATCATACTATTTTAGTCTGGTAGGCAACAATTTTCGGTACCAAACCAAGCTCGTATACAGTTAATACCAAACTGACCAAGAGTATTTGATCAAAATATAGTCATTAGTCAGCTTACCAAAACAGGGTATAAAAGTGGCCAATGTTTTGAATTGGTATTTGAGTAATACCAGCTCTTCCTCCCCTTAATGGTCAATTCAAAATCGATGAAATCTACTTATGTGTTTGTTGATCGACTGAATGTCAAAATACCGTGACTCGACCGCCATACCTTAAGGGCATATTCCTTGAAATATTTCAAGTCAGAACTGCCTTATACACTATCGTCCAAAACTTTATAGTTGAGGAATAGTGAGCAATATTGAATATAACAAAATGACGCGATAAGAATATTGGTGAATAATAGTGTATTATGTAACAAGTGTTATAAACGTCAATTTAGTAACGAGTATTGTGAGCACGATTGCGGCAGAGCATTGGGTATATACAGGGTGTCCCGAAATGAGCCTGTCGAATTTCAGCAGCGGCTTCTTCGATCAAAAATAGTAAGAAAGTTTCAATAAACAGAAGTAGATAAATGTCTCCTAAGGAAGGTACCGCCCCCTGGGAGAAGGGGCTCCTGAAGATGATATTTCTTGGATATTTCCGAAAAGTCATCTGATAAAATGGTATTACTATCAGCTATAACCTTCCTTGAGAAAATCATTCATAGATATTTTCATGGACGATGCTCTTCTGAAATTTCAACAATTGTTCCTCCCTTGGCAGTCCCCGCAAGATTAACCCGTCAAGTTGAGGCTTCGCACCTCTTCGTGGTCACTTTGGACACATGCAGAAAATCTCTTTCCGAAGACTCGTTCATCCAACGCACAGCGAGGCTCTGGATCACATTGCCAAGGAAGGTGTTCCCAGAGGCATATAACCTCCTGAAATTCAAGGAGAACACCAATTTCTACCCCATTCCCTTTGGTTCTCACGATGTTCTCTGAACAATACAGGATATTCCTTTTCGTGGGAACCAGAACATAAAAGAAAAAAATGCCATACTTACCCCAAACTTTTTTGTAAGTATATTATCGACAATTTGATCTCGTATAATGAGAAGCCCCCTTTACAGAAAAAAGGTGCTCTTGTTCTGTAAATCTGTACGTTTTTCGAGTGAAATCGGTTCAAAAATATTGTTACATCTCACATATTATTATTTATCAGTTTTTTTCCTATTTCTGGTCGTAGAAGCCGCTCTTGAAGTATGGCAGGCTTATTTCGGGAGACTCTGTATAGAAGACAGCAAGAAAATGTCGTTCATTCATAGCCATCTCGGATCGTATCGTTATTTGCAACCGCATCGAGATTGATGGTACGATGGGATCTTGAAGTTGAAATCTGTCTCTCCAGAGTGACAGGCTTGGTAAAAGGCTAGAAGTCGTGAATTATTCACAATATCTTCCATCGATGTGAACAAGACATTGAGGAATGTACGGCTACACCGTGAAACACGTGACAGAATTGATGAGGGTTATTGGTTGCATTATATTATTAACTGTCGAGTGAATATTAGTTGGAATTATACTTACACCTAATGAGAAATTCAATTGATTGTATCATGTGGAGATTAGAATAAATATTGATTTGAATGTTAGAATAAAACATGAAAGATTGAAACAAACTGCCTATACCAAATACTTTGATATTTGGATTGATGAAAAGTTAACATGGGACAAGCATATTGGCATGCTCAAAGAAAAAATTTCTCACATAGTTGATGTCCTAAGAAGATGTCCAAAACTAATCCCAAGTATAGCAAATACCGTTCTATACTCTCACATCCTTAGTAAAATGAACTATTCCATAAATATTTGGGGTTCATGTTTCAAGAATAATTTCAACATAATATCTGTACTATATGAAAAAGTATTGAGAAGGAATATTCTCAGATATATTTGTGAACATGAAAAAATGGATATACAGGGTTATGATAAAGTAATGCACAAAATTCATAAAACGTACAACGATCACTTTTGAAAAAAATGCAAAAACACGTCAAACTGTTTTTTTTATTCCGCATATTTTGACATAAGTTACAAAAATAACACGTCAAAGTTGTCAAAGTTATGACGTCATCAACACATTTTTTTAATGGGGAAGCTAAGATTTTATTACATTTAGGGAGTTTTCCAGCCTCCAACCATACTGAATTTTGGCATTACGAAAGCTAATACAGGAGCGTTATAAACAAAAACGATGAATAATTCCAACTTCAACATCCTGTAAATCGAAAAAGGAAGCAAGTTAGGACACATGTTGATATGAACTTCATTTCCAAAAACATCACAAGGAATCACCTCCTGGAGTTTGTCACAGTTCTCCACTAACACCCTGTATATGTCGCCAAAGTCTATGTTCGGTGGCCAAAGTATCCTCACCATACCGTCTCACCACAGAGAAATGTTCGAGATCATGTTCTTACAATATTGCTATCGTCGTTTATGAGCTAATTTTTTGTCAAACAATCAAAATGTCAACTGTAATCTCACAAATTCTCAACCAGGAGGAAATTACTGATAATAATTTTACTTTTTTCATGTTCGTATGAGCAGCTGACGTATGATTCAGCGCGTTATATTCAGCTGACTTTTTTTGTTCAAACAAATAAAATACCAACTGCCATCTCACCAATTTTCAACCAGGAGGAAATTCGCCCATCCCAACCCACCCATCGCGCAGTTGGGGATTTTTTAGATCCAAGACACAAACATCCCAATCTTCTCACAAATTATCATAGTCCAATAGATAAAGGGAAAAAGTTAACATTAATCACGCACTATTTTCATCTTCCGGTTGGAAGTAGCTTTTGGTACCTCATTAAACATGAGACAAAGTTTGACTGGAAAACGCGTGCGATGGCGGAGAAAATGGCCCCAAAAGACCAGAAAAATAGGTTTTCAGCCAATATCTCCTAAAATATGGCAGTTAGAGATTTTTGGTTCAGATGAAAATTGAAGTTCAGTTAATTTTCTACAAAAATGGTCCTCATCATTTTTCTCGAAAATTTGCCCGGTTTCGAGAAAAACGGCACGAAGCGCACCTCGAATAATGAGCTTCTGTGATGTATGCCGGAGAGCACAGTCCGTGTATTTACACATCGGCGGGGGGACAAATTATTCAATAACTTTGTTAAAAATGCATATTTTCTCATGATTCAAAGTTCATGTGAAAGAGGAATTCTGCTGCTATCATACCCTGTGAATTGAGTCACGCTTGACTCTTTTGGCCATATCGGAACATGGGTCAAACTTTCTGCTCCCGGTCGATTTTGACCTCGCCAGGAATTTGTTCCTATTTTTTTTGTATTGCACTAATTTACTCGAAATTCTCTTGATTATCTTGATTATGGGTCGTCATAAGGTCCTTTGTCATCCCTGAAATTTGTATACCCTAATTTTTTTTTAATTTTCATTTTATCTTTGTTTATTGAATCCCAATTTTTTGCTGTTTTTGGAGCGCAAGGAAATTTTGTGAACAACCATCAATTAAAAATGTATACATGATCCGATTGGTTTCTATGATACATCATTTGAGAGCTAAGAAGGTCTACTTTTCGATTGTGCAATTACTTTTCTAGACGAAGGTGTCCATTTTTCAATAAAATTAGAAAAAGCGGGTTTTTTTTTCTCCGTGCTCTTTATTTCTAACATTTCAACACCTTAACTAGTGTAACGGGGAAATTCCCACCTTTCCATCGATGTATATAAGTCATACCTTTGATATCCCGGGAAAAAACCAGTATATCTAAATGTACACGCTATACTTTATTACTTTCGTTCCTCCGTCGTTCGCCGCGTGTGTGCTCTACGTGGCGCTCGGGTCGTCTGCTACAAACCATGCGGCCACGCAGGGTATGATAGCAGCAGAATTCCTCTTTCAGATGAACTTCGAATCATGAGAAAATATGCATTTTTAACAAAGTTATTGAATAATTTGTCCCACCGCCGATGTGTAAATACACGGACTGTGCTCTCCGGCATACAACAGAAGCTCATTATTCGAGGAGCGCTTCGTGCGGTTTTTCTCGAAATCGGGCAAATTTTCGAGAAAAATGATAGTGACTATTTTTGTAGAAAATTAACTGAACTTCAATTTTTATCTGAATCGAAAATCTCTAACTGCCATATTTTTGGAGATATTGGCTGAAAACCTATTTTTCTGGTCTTTTGGGGCCATTTTCTCCGCCATCGCACGCGTTTTCCAGTCAAACTTTGTCTCATGTTCAATGAGGTACCAAAAGCTACTTCCAACCGGAAGATGAAAATAGTGCGTAATTAACGTTAACTTTGCCTTTTTTTCCTCCTTCATTTATTGGACTATCAGCAGATAGGATATTGGTAGCAAGAATCTGCTACTGGCTCCCCTACTATAAATCCTCACCATATTCATCACAGTCATGATGTACAGCTCGATGTCCGACTTCTTGTGATGTGCGACGAACTTCTTGTCTGCCACCACCATCGTCTCCAGATACCTGTGCTCGCTAGCCAATCCTCTCTTCTCCACATTTTCGTGTTCCAAAGATTCGCCTTTCCTGTTTAGATTCATTTTTGAAAAAAATCATCAAAGTTTCCCAGTTACTACATATAATCGAATTATTTGATAGTTTGGCCAGGAAAAAATTGCTAAAGAATTTTTTTCAACGGATTCATTGATTTTTTCGGGATGCTGAATCTGAAAATTCAGTTATCGACTAGATTCGGTTATGGCTTCACAATGAAAATGGCAGGAAAGTATGGAAATACGGGAGTTGTTTTAGTTTTCCGCTCATAACTCCGAAACTACTTGATGAAGAGAAAAATTGGCATGGATAAAAATGGAAGCAAATGGAATTTACAAAAGAAATGAGATGAAAATCAGCTCGCTAATTTTTCTGGTTCAGCCGCTGGAGCGCGCTGAAGATTGACCATAGTTGTCAAGTTATTCAAAATATTCGTATTTCAGACTTTCAAAGCCTACAGTCTGTCCACGGAATCTGCGCCCTTCGTTGATTGGGTCTGGAGTCAAAATTGAATCCATAATATAGGTCTGCTTGCAAAAGACACTCATGGTTGTACGGATAAAAATAAAAAGACAATCATCCAAAAATTCATTTAGGTAGTAAACGGGTTCGATTGCGGAAGGTTTGCTTCAATCGTGGCCTTTTAGCCTTGGGAGACTCTTCTTCTGGAACACGAAAGAGATACCTATTGATAAACATCTATATTAAATGTTCGTTGAGACTGGTGATATATTGGTTAGATGAACAGAAATATTGATACATTCAGTATCATACGAGGTTCCTGGCAATTCCTCAGTAGTCTCCTGCTCATCATTCCCGATACCAGAGCTAGGCATGACATCTGAAAAATATCACAGTTACATCGTTTGAGTAATTGTCTTCAAGAAAAAGAAGTCAAGCCATTGAGTTTATCAAGAAAATATTCAAATATGTGAACGATTAATAACGTTCTTCAGCAGCAAAGTCCCGCACAACCTCTTCGTTCTCATCATCCAAATCGTCGTCATAGCCGGAATACATCTGACCGTTGCTGCAATAGCCCTCACAACATTTGCACATTTTGGAACAAAACAACCCGGCCTTCTTGCAGCCGCAGTTTCGTTTACAATCTTGTATGCATTTGCACACGGTTGTATGGTTGTTTGTGGTATCCATCAGTTGTTTGTCGAGTACCATATCCCCAGGGCAAAGGGTTTTTCCGAGAGGATAGAAAACAGTACTCGACAAATTTTAATTTTCGTGGTAGATTCAGAAAGAAGCGTAATTGATGTATATTTCTGATTTGGAGGAGAATTGAAAATGAAGGCAACAAATAAATGTTGAGGAAGAAGGTTCAGGCAGAGATTATACACTCCAGGATACCCCATGGTGAGACACACTAGGCGGAAACAATAGCCTGGCGATGTATACTGATTCAAAATCAGAAATACGAATATTTTGGACAACTTTAAAAACTCTTGTCAATTTTCAGGTCTCTCTAGCGGTTGAATCAAACAACGATATCTTGTCGATTTTGATCTTGTTTTACAGTAAATTTTATAGGCTTCAATTTGAGTATGATGTAATTTTTCATTAAATCACGATGTTTCGGAGTTATAAGCAAAAAAGCAAAATAAGTCCCAAATTTTCATGGTTTATTACGATTTTCGTGGTGCAGCCATGTTCGAATCTAGTCGATAACTAGATTTTCAGATTCAGCACCACAAAAACCATATAGATTCGTCGAGAAAAATTCTTCAGCAATTTTTTCCTGAATCCAGTGCTTTCCGTATCCAAATGACTGGATTAATACCCCTGTTTAGCGAATTTCTCCCTGAACCGCTTCTTCCACGCCTCCTTCCATTCGTGCGTGCCGCAGTGCATGTTGCTGCGCTTCGCCACGTTGGAATCGGCCTCGTGCACCACGTGAAGATGGTGGCCCTGCTCGTTGGCTTGGTGGTCTTCCAAGGGCTCGATGAAGTACCGACGGTCGCCTACTGAGATGTAGCCTGCCTGGAAAATTGCAGACTTAGACGTTGCTTCCCATGTACAGGGTGTCCCTAAATTATCCACCAGCGGCTTCTTCGACCAAAAGTAGGAAGAAAAGGTTCAATGAACATGAGTCGAGAAATGTCTCCTCAAGATGATATTTCTTGAATATTTCCGAAACGCCACGTGATGAATACTGTCTGTAGGTTAATCGAGGAGGTGGTACATTCATTATTCCAAATTTTTTGGGATTTTCTCTCCTCGTTTCTATAAAATAAAAATATGAATATTATTCCAATATACGTGTAAAGATAGGTGAAAATTTGATATTTTTTCTATATACCTTTATTTCTCTTCTCCAAAAATTTTTCAATACAAATTGTCACTGACAAGCTAGTGAATTTTTCTTTTAGGCTCTCTGATAGAAAAATTCTTTAAACGCAGTGACATTTTGGGGCAAATCATCTAATTTGTCCTTACTACACGTATATTGAAATAATATTCATATTTTTATTTTATAGAAACGAGGAGAAAAAATCCCAAAAAATTTGGAATAATGAATGCCACGTGATGAACTGATGCAATTTGGTACACGAACTAAACTTCCGATGCTCAATGCGGAGAACATAAAATCATTTCAAAGTTTCATTCAGGAGTGTATAATACAGGGTGGGACTACATTAAATATTGCTTAAACTTCTTCGTATGCATATTTTTCAACAATTTAATCTTGGGTAATGAAAATCCACATCATTGCACGAACAAAGGTGCTCTTGTTCCGCATCGATGATGTTGATCGAAAATATTGATGCACTCACATCCGAGCTCACATCTAATGCAACGTTGCCAATTTTCGAATCATAGTGGCTATAAAAAAAATCAATTACTTATTTTCACCAAACGAACTCGAAAAATCGCAAAAAATTGGAAAATGATGATGAAAAAACTACTCAAATTTTTGTGACATTCTTTCCATTTCCACTACACCTCATGGCAATGTTATGCATAATATTTGAGATGTAACAATTTTTTCAAATTGCTCTTACTCGATAATAATACATCTGATCGTCACAGAACAAGAGTACCCTTTTTCTGTAGAAAGATATGAAATTTCATAATTCGAGATTGAATTGTCGAAAAATATGCATACACAAATTTTTTAGCAATATTTAATGTAGTCCCACCCTGTATCATGCACTCCTGATTGAAATTCCGAAATAATTTTATTATCACTGCATTGGGCATGGAAATTTTACTTCTTGTACCAAATTGCATATTTTCATTACATACACCGTGTCCAAGCTAAAATGTACCCCCTGCAAAAAATCAACCGCGCGATCGAATAACTGGAAATTCGGTCACCCAGTATATTTGATGATGCTCACTCGGAATATGCTATTGAATGAATCGTAGATATACAGCTATACAGTTCTCAACACACTAAATGGACCATACATAATTTGACTCTATTTCGAAGATCTGTATTTTTTGAAAAAATTGAACGATCTTCATGCGGTTTTCGATATCAGATGTGATATTTCATCGGCTTCAAAAAGAGCTAGAACACTCTGAGGGAGTCCGCAGAACAAAAAATGGTGTAAAGTGGAACCATTACACTATGGTCTAAATTTCCAATGCTGCCAGAACTCGAGATATTTTGTTCTGATCAAATGTTAGTCATATTATGATACACTGGGACCTCATCTCGGGACATTTTCGTGATTCCTCCTCAATTGGCCATTGGAACAAAAATTCGATTTTTTTCCGAAAGTCTTGCATTTCTTGAATTTTTTCTCTAGAACTCCACTTGAGCTGACTGTTAGGAAGAACTGTTCTTATGCTTCGTGGAGGAGAATGGAAGACGAAGAAAGCACTATTGTGGAATATAAAGGATGATAAGAAAATAAGATAAAATCTAATTTCAGTAAAAAAATCAAAAATGGTGGCTAAAACCATGGCCCATTCGATTCAGTATATTCAGAAACGGCCTTCCCGATATCCATTATCCATATTAGACTATTAACTCGAGACGTTTTCGAAAATTCGTCTCTTATTGAAATACAGGATGCAAATTTTCAATTCGAACTTATTTCCTGATATCGATGATTCTTATCAACCGATTCCCAATATTTATTGCCCAAGTATGAGACACAGAGTATAGTTGTTCAATATACAGAGTGTTTCACAACTTATCTGACAAGTTACAGACTCTAGAAAACAATAATGTTAGAAGAATGTGGTGACCAGCATTATCTCCAGATCTGGATTTGATTGACCATGTGTGGAGCCGAATGAAACTCAACCTATCGAGAAGGCAAGAGGCACCCCAAAATGATGACAATCTTATCCAAGCTGTATCAGAAGAATGATGAACCCTGTAGAAGCTGTTCAAATATACGGAGTCACTCTGTACATCAACAAGATTATATAAAATCTCCTAACATCTAGTTTTTTCAGCAATTTACTGAAAGATCATGTCCGTAATCATTCGCATTATTGGGTGATATAAGCCTAAATATCAATGAATATTCACCAAATCAATCAGTTATAGGATTGTTTCTGCAGAGATTAAGTTGTTATTCCAAGATATTTCATAGCAGCTCAATATGTTGAGTTAGCTCAAATCTGAAAATATGCTGAATATCATAAATCCACCTAACACGATCGTTTAAGCAAAACCAGAGATTTATCCAAGATTTGAATTCGAACTGTGAACTGAGCAACAAAATAATCCAAGATTCACAATGAATCAAAACTCTGAATAGTCAAAGACCTAGTAGTAAATTGTTCAACGAGCACGGAATGATAGTGATTTCCTACGAGAATGAAGTTTGCAGCTTGAGCCATAGGCGAATGCTGCTTCGATTCCTTCGTCTTGTAGCCATCTGATTTCCTGTCAAGTAATGCTCATCTTTTTGACAGATCTGCCATTGCTCGCAATTTGACATTCCATGAGTGATTTCTTTGAAATAACAAAGTACCTCATTGATGTATCGAACACAGTAAAACAAGAGCAATTTGGTGCTGAAGCCGTAAAAAAATACATTACCAAGCCATCACAGGTTGATAAGGCAGCTCTAGAGTTCCTCTCTCCTCTGACTCTCCCTGTATAGTGACATATCCTGTCACTATCCAGCCTCTTCATTCGTTGGCTTCCAACGCTCAATTTTGGATCTCTGTGCTCCACCACCAGATCCGGCGATATAAAATCGTGGTTGGGCCACAACTCCACGTGATAGTCCTGATTGTCCAGACTGACCCCATAGTGAACTACGTCTTCTTGGTCGTGTCTTTTGGTTCTTCTGGCTGAAGGGTCATGTTTGAAGAAATGGGGTAGGTTGAAGGTCAGGAATTCGCCTCGGTTCGTTAGCTTATGCGGGACGGTCAGCTTATAGTTTTCAATGGATTTGGTGTACCTACCTACGAAATATAATGAATCATATGCTGTAAGAAATCCTCTTGAGTGACTGCAGTGTAGTGGATAGATAAAGTAGAACATAAACAAATTCAATTAAAACATCGAAAATATCTAGTACACCTTCTCAAGGTAATTATTGTTATAGTTTTACAAAATGTTATCATAATAAGCACGTCAAATATTCAGGGCATGGTTTAGTAAAGCATTTTCGGATAATCTAGATACGACTCTCCTGATAGATGGTTGTAAATTTGAGAATAGAATAAATCTATGTCTGAGTGTTCTCATGAGTTTTTCTTGATGAATCGTTAGCTTGATGAGTACCTTTACCAAGTTATCACATGGCGATCCTGCTAATGCACGCAATGGAAGTAAATTACCTGTAATGAAAAGATCTTTTTGAAGAGACATCAACAGTACCATTTCACAACTTTGAGAGAGTATTAGAAAATCCAGACATGGGATCTACGGAGTCGAAAGAAGAGGTTATTATATCTCAAGCAGAAAACAGCGATTAGTATCAGGTGAGGGTGCCAAAGGTCATAACTTCACCCTCGGAGAAATCGTTGGAGTTGTTGCCGTTTGTATCCTGATTGTGGCGGTTATCGCATGGATATGGATATGAATGCATTATGTATGTTTTTTAAATATCGTAGGTTTTCAGATTATTTTCTGTCTTGATTTTATAAGGTTTTAAGATATATCATGTACTTAAGTTTTTAGATTTTATTGCCGTCTGACCTTGTAAAATTGACGTGTAGTGGTCTGCTCTACAAATGTATGTGATGAATTTCATGTGTATTTATGTATATATCGCGTAGTCTTCCCTATGTGACCTGAATGTTCAAATGATATGTTTGTTGTTTTTCACCCTAACACTTTGTCAATAAGAACTACCATTCTTGAGACAATAAAGTAATTTTGAATTTGAATATATAGTAGAATGAGGGTGATGCTGGAGAAGAACATTCGGCGTGAGTTTGCTAGAAGTCAAGAGCAAGTTAAAAACCGATTGACTATAGACAAAGTGTTGCAGAACAGTGTACATAGACAGTGAGAAAAAGGACAAAATTGTGAGGCCAAGCGCATCAAATGAAGTTGGAAGAAGGAAAGTACCAAGAAGAAGGAGAAATGGAGCAGAGTAGAGGATCAAAGATGCTGCGAGTTGAAGATTGTTTGTAAGCAGAGATTATAGTATTCATAGTATAGTGATAGGTAGTTGGAATAATTAGACGAATTTTATTGATAGGTTTAGTGAAATATTTGAGGACGCGAAGGCTTTTAAACGAAACGTTGACAAAGATAATCAACAGAGGCGTCAAAATTTGACACAAGCTGATGACAAACTTGAGGGTATATCTAACTTAGGTAAAGAATTGGGTCGTATCAAGAAAGAATTCAATAGGGGACCACATGATCCAGACATAATCGAACAAATAAAAATTTTAGTGAAAATACCGAAACTATCATTGTAGAAACCCGCTCAGGTAGGTTACAAAGCATTTCCGAAAATCCATTGGCTTTAGGAAACTCAATAATGAGTGAGAAATTCGACCTCAGAACGGCGACGTCCTTGTTGCCCTCTATGGATGGCACTGAGGACATGACCAATCAGTTAATTGACGCTATTGAACTGTACAGCGAATTATTGGATGGTGATGGCGAAAAGCTCCTCGTCAACTATGTTTTGAAGGTAAAAATATCACAAAATGCTAAGTTACAAATCATATAACACCACCGAAGATTTGATAAACGACATGAAAATTCATTTGATAACAAAAAAATCAGCAACTTCATTGTCTCTGGAGTTGCATAGTATGAAACAAAATGATAGATCTATTGACGATTTTGGAAAAACGATTGAACAACTCATGGTTAACTTAACTTTAGCCCAAGCGGATCATGATGAGAATGCACTAGGAGTGAGTCAATCTAATGAGTGAATTTTCACTTGTACTGGCACTAGAGGTCGAATTATTTCCGGAAATTATTTCGAGCCCATGGACATTTTGAGAATTATTCCGAGTCGATCACGAGAAGAGAAATTGTGAAAAATGTCGAAAGGTGAGAAACATTCAGATCTACACATATTCATATAAATATACTCTTATTTACACACATAAATACACATCAATTAACAAATATATGAAAAGCATGTTGACTACCTATCACATTTGAAAATATAAGGTATCCTAATCAAAAAATTCTTCTATGGTGTAGCAGTTTTTGAGAAGTGAGTGTTTTTTCAGGTTATTTTTGAACATTGTTAATGAAGCTGCATTCTTTATGTGATCCGCCAGAGAATTATAATATTTACATCCAATATATTCAAAAGTTTTTCTGATATCGAACTGTTTCCATTTTATTGGATTAAATACAGGGTGAACCAGTCACTATTCAATTTTGAATTGACTCGGCCGTTACTTGATGGAAATCCATGACAAATTCAAAAACTTCTCAAACGATAAGATTTCCACAAAATTCTCAAACACACGACATGTTTCGCTAACACAGTAGCTTTGTCAGGTGATATACTGGTACAATAAACTGAACTAACGTTGGCTTGCTTGACTTTTATATATCCTACTTTCCCAACCTAAAGGATTAGTTACCTGTGGACAGGTACGATAAACCTCCATTTTCGGAAATTTGGCTTAATATCTATATTAAAATACAGTATACCGGATTAACTTGAAAGATTTGATAGCAAATACATATTATTACTTACTAAGAAAACGAATTCAACAGTGGTGATTAATTGAGGTCTAATCGATCATCAAGTAAAATGTAAAAATTTTTGAGTTTATTTATTTCTAATTGTCCTTCATTTTCTACGTGTAGAATTCCGAAATTATCATCAAAACTATGATTTTCTTCTAATATATAGTTGGCGTATGTTGAATTTGTTTTCTTTTTCATAAAATTCATCTTATGTTCATGAATGTGCGGATTAAACGTACGACCTGTCTGACCGATATATACCTTAGGACAAGACCCACAGTTGAGTTTGTATACCCCTGATTCTTCGAATTTAGAAGTTTTGTCTTTAGTATTCTTAATAAACCGTCCCAACGTGTTATTCGTTCTATATGCCACTTTCAAATCCTGTTTATGTAGAAATGAAGCTGATTTCTCAGTTGAGCAAGCCAACGTTAGTTTAGTTCATTGTACCAGTATATCACCTGACGAAGCTACTGTGTTAGCCAAACATGTCGTGTGTTTGAGACTTGTGGAAATCTCATCGTTAATGAAATTATTACAAATACTATTGAATGTCAGTAGATAGTATATCAGAAGTTGAGATGGGAACATGTAAGCCGTCCTGATGGATGAATGGATAGTCTGGACACGTAAAATCCTAAAGTTGAAAAATATCGATATTGAACACCCTATCTCTCTGTAATCATTCTTGCTGAACCCCAAGTGTGATAGATCAATAAAATCAGTTCTCCAACAATAATCTGAAAATTCAACAAAATACAGGGTGCTCTGTTCGAAATAAGGAAGTTATCAATAATCCCGGAATAACTGAAGAAGTGGAAACATTGGCGATAACATTCTCAAATCCTACACATTTTGATATCACCCTGTACTAAATTCGGAAAAATATAACGAAGGGTCACCAAGATATTCACCTGTTTCCACACATATAACCAACCCTGTACATACTCATTGCTGGAAAAAAATCAGTAATACCTGTAGAAGTTCTGATCATATCAAAGAGACTGAACTTGATTCGCATCAGCGATATTTTCAATGCTTGTATGTAATTTCTTCAAATCGATAGATGCTGTTCAATTACCAATACCCAATAAATGGATTTACACGATTTAGTACATTTCCAGTGATTACGCACCAATATGGTCAGTGCAAATTGGAATTTCATCTGATTCAATTTTCGATAATTAACAATAGGATAATTGGGACCTTGCATTATGTAAGAATAATTGTCGTTGATTGGTGAATCGAATAGCCAATTCAAGCTACAGTAGTATGAACATAAAACAAATATTTGAACGAGGCTGCAAATATGATCATGACAAATACCAAAGCAATCGATAACGAATCGCATACCAATTTGAAATCATTAACAATGGTCACAGGAAGATTATTTCATCATTCCACATTGCATAAATTTCCTCTCGTGACAAAACTTGTACGAGTATTTATGAAGCTTCACTATTCAACCATTCATAATGAAAAATGATAAACATAATTTTCTTCTCAATGAAGATTGCATTTTCGACTGTAAATAAAATGATAGTTTGGTTACAGACCTGACCTGGGTACCATTCAACTTTAGTACATCAACAATCATAGCTGCACTTAAACATTTTTGTAGCCAATACTGAAGATATAGTAACTACGGCAAAAAAAATTAGTACGATAGGTTTTATAGAAACACCTATTTCTAACCAAGGATGTTCTAACTCGGAAGTTCTAACCAAGGAAGATGGAACACTAGCCACAACTGCCCACTCTGGATTCATCGGGAAAACCTCCTTCAAAACATAACGCCAATTGATAGTCATATGCCCGAGATTACCTTTCGCCAACGTACTATAAGGAAGATTTTTTTGGGTCTCAACACCAACAAAGCTTATGAGTCCGACGGAAGCCCACCGATAGTTCTAGAGAACTGTGCTCCCGAACTAACACCTGTTCTCTGCAAGTTGATCAACTACTCCTACAAATTGAGTATATTCCCGTCCAACTGGGAAATTGCAAAAGTGCAACCAGTTCCTAAAAAAGGCAAAAAAACCCTACCTAGCAACTACAAACCGATCGCACTGCTATCTATTATTTCAAAGAACATGTAGAGAGCTATCAACATCGAGCTCATGAAATACCTGGAACATTCAGGTGAGCAATATGGCTTCCGTCATTAGAGATCAACTGGTGACTGGAATCTATTGAAACATATGGTGAAACCTTAGCCGTGGCAGTTGATATCTCCAAGGCATTCGATCGAGTCTGGCACCATGGACTCCTCGCCAAGCTT